CACAATCAAACCTCTACAAATGATTTAGAATTTTTTTTAAATAAAAATGTATCTCTCTTTATTTATTCCTTCTCTTTCTAGCTTGTACTTATTTGAACAATGTCTAAGAACTTGGTATTACAACCACTTCTTGTGTCTGTTTGCCTCTTTAAGAAGAATCGCTTTATGTATCCCCCAATTGTAAGTCGCTTTGGATAAAAGCGTCTGCTAAATGACTAAATGTAAATGTAAATGTAAATTAAACCAGTCAATTCATGTTCAAGCACTGCTACCGTAGCAAATGGCCATACATTCTCAAAAAGCGACAGACCCTAAACAGTGTCACGATATAAAATATTGATGCTTGTCAACAAGACTATAATTTAAGTCCTAGTCCTAAATCTATCCCTTTTTTGTTAATATCCTCCAGTGCTTTCTAATGAAAGACTTTGCATTGAATAGAGCAAATTAACCGACTGCAGTAAAGGCATTGCTGTGCCATAATGCCTTTCTCAGGGTGCCGTAGACTTTCTGTTCTTTCCCTATATTTTTCCACACTTGCAGGTCTCAGCTCATTCCTCAAGGATGACCTTTTCAGATGCACATCATGTGATTTGATTATCGCAATCTGGGGTTTTTTATAGCCTTGGCTGCGATCATACCACAATTAATTTCCCATAAATTTAAGAGATCTTTGGTGAAAATATTGCATAATTTCAACATTGTTTGTTTTATCAAAGTCACATTTATTTTTTGGCTTCACACTGAACACTAAACTTAACCTATTAATTTTTCACTAGGAGTTTCTTCTGGAAACTCCCTTAAAGTCCCTACAAAAACAACAGCTTCAACCTTTGGGTCCGCCATCTGTGCCTCTGAGCTCAGATTATGCTCATTTCGCAAAAAAATAAAACATCTGTACAATATGTCAGCTGAAGCCATCTGTAAAACTTAGTTTCATTTATTGTTATTTTAAACTTCTAGAAAATGAAAATGTCTGAGCTAGATCTAAAGTATCTTTTCTGTAGTAAAGGGAAGAGAGTAAATTTGTCACATCTTGCACGTCAACTCAAATCATCCAAAAATATCAAACATTTTAAATGAAATAAAAATAGCCCATATCATATTTTGTAACTGAGTACCACAACCAACATATCTGGTGGTACATCAATGGCACAGTACCTACTGTACTAATGAAAACAACTTCTACAGCCTTTCAAAGTTGAAACAAACATTATTTTAGATTGACAGACACTTTATGCCCGGCCTGCAAATGTAAATATCAAAATGAGTGAATGTACCCATGATAAGGCAAAGGTCAGAAACTGCTGGGACCATTTTTAATGGCCTGCCATCCAGAGGGTGATTTATCGCAGTAGGTATGCGTCAAAGCGGCCAGATAAAATGCTGATATATTGCGGCTAGGTGGCATCAAAAGACTGATTGCCTCACTATTGGTTACCTACACCCCCACTTTTTCGGCCCACCCTCCATTTGCGTGGGAAACTACACTTAGTACACACCAAAAACTCGGTCTTGAGTTTGAGAAAAATCGGACAGACGGACGGACGGACGGAGAGATAGATAGATAGATAGATAGATAGATGGATTGGCGGAAGAAGGCAGAAGCATCACCTATCTCTCGCTCTATTAATATGAAATGAGAGAGGGGGCACAGGAAGTGAGGGGTATATTTAGTGGTACATTATCTCACTCTCGCTGTAATCTTCTGCAACATATGAGCTGGATGGCACTACAAAAACTATAGCAGTGGTTGTAAGATGAGACAGTGTCGATCATATATAGGCTTAAGATCTGCTCTAGCAATTCCAAATACATAATATATAAAACGATTAAGATATTTTAAGTGTGCAACTCATCTCAATTTATGAATCTCAATGATATGTTTACTTCCAAGTGTCATTACAGAAAGAGAGCCAGTTAGTTGATGGAAGGTGAGGTCTGGGAAAATATAGCATGGTTTAGTTTGACATGTTTTCTAATTTTTGCAAATAGTTTCCCATACATTTAATAATTTATGCATCATCTTACCCAAGCATCATTGCATTAAGTCATCACATCTTTTTTTACACACAAAACTGTCAAGAAAAAACAAAACAAAAAAAATACTTAACTTGTCAAAATCTAATATAAATGCTAGCGTGTGACTTGCAATGATGGCATAGTTTTATCCATAAAACAGTCCCTTCTTTTCTCCAGAATGTGAAGTGAATTGAAAGCATGATGTGGTGATGTGATGAGTCATGTGACATGCAGAGGGCATCATTTGCATCAGCATTATGAATATGGCACACATGAAGCTGGAAAATTTTGCTCTTTTGAATGTAAGGTGTGTTCGGTTCTGAACACAATGGAGTGTCTGTACAGCTAGACCACATCATGCTAACAGTTAAAAGACTCAAAATCAGGAGGAGAACAGGAAAAATTTCTGGATTAATGACCTCAGAAAAGCTGACATTAACAGAAAGAACAACACAATGCAACAAATACGTGACAAATAAATTAAAGAAATGTATTTGAATTTGAAAGGCATTCTCAATTCAGTTTGGTGGTGTAAAACCCATTTCACTGTAATACACACTATGTAATTCACTATAAAAAGTGTGTGTGGGGGGGGGGGATGCTGTTTTAATTATAGGGTCCGAAAGTGCCTGTGAGATTTCACACTGTTTTCAAACTTAAACAGTCATGGTCTTAGCATGGACAAAAGTCAACTTCTCAAGCATCAGGTTCACTTTGCGCAAGTGTTGGGATCAACGCAGCACCATACCACTTCTCAATGTTCCACAGTGGTCAGGGCTCTGGGTCGGCTTGCGGCCCCCTCTGACACATCCTGGTATGAAAACCACTCTTGTCCTCAGAGGGGCCAAGACAGTAGAGAGGGTACTGGAAGAAGGGGTAAGGAGAGAGCTGGCAGTTAAAGCCGTGAGGTTCTTAAGGGGGAAGAATTTTATGCGTGTCCTGTAGGCGGACCTTGGGTCTTGGCCGGGGCAGGTGGATGGAATTTGCTGTTGCAAATGTGATGTCTACTCAGCCATCACATACACGGTGAGAGGGCTATTTATACAACACTGTGGGAAAAGGAGAACGCTCATGTTTATGAGCATTGACCTACAGACATGGAGAATGAAGGCTATATCATTTCAGCCTGAGGCTACCATTAGTGACATCGGGGTCAAGGTCTGCATGTGGACACGTACATGTTTACATACTCCTTGCAGAATCTGTTTTATATATATATATATATATATATATATATATTTAAAAGAAAATAGTTTTTCAAAGAGAACATTGTTTTGAAGCTAGCTGACATTTTTAATAATAGGCCACAAGATAAAATAAATAAAAAATATAATAAAATATGAAACAAAAAAGTATAGTAAAATAAAATAAAATATATACATATATAATATGTAAACATTTGGACAGGATAATTTGTGTAAAAATATAAAATAAAATAAAAACAAATACAGTAATAAAATCAAATAATAGATTAAAATAAAAATTAAATACTAATAATAAAAAATACTGTGTGATGCTCGAGAAGGCAACACCATGTAAAGAACCAATATGCAAACTTTTGAACAGGACAGTTTGTGTAAATGTGTAAATAAAGCTATTATTTTGTCTTGTAGAATGGCTTTATCAGGAGAACTTTCTTTTTTTTTTTTAAAGTTAAACATCTTACAGATTCTGCAAATAGTATACTATTACTTATTATAATAGTATACTATACTATACACATATGTAAACCAGAAAAAAAGAACAAATGTAACAACTGTAAGTGATTACGGTATGATGCATATAACAGTGGGGTCTTCAAAAGGACACTTGTAATGATCCATTAAAAGTGTGTATGTGGTTACAGTCATATATGGCCAATCGTTTTAGAGATCATACTGAATAAACCACCCTTTGATCTTCTGAGGCTGGTCCCACCAGCTTAAAATTGCACTGAGGTCAAATGTAATTCTCTGTGGTCGGTAGCCTCTCACCCAGTCCGGAGGGAATAAGTGAGAGTGAGAGAGATGAAGAGGTCAATTAAATAAAAGATATAAAGGCAGTATACATACATGCTCATATACACATATGTAAGTGCATGACATTGGGGAAAGTGAGTGAGCCAAGTGTTTTTCCTGCCAAGGGTTAATTGTGTCATAAATCCGTCCTGAGGCCAGGCATGACTGGTATTCACACCTCCGACTGCAACACAGACTCCTACAGCAGCGTAGCTAATCTAGATAGGACACTATTAATACTGCCATCTGCAGTCACCAGCTTGACATATAGTAAGTGCTCCTGCAGGTAAACCCAGCTAGCGGTTTGAACAAAACAGACCATATTTGAAGCCGTATTGGAGTGGCAATCATTAGGAAAATTCCAGGTTCAATATAATTTATCAATATAAGTTATCCCCAGCATCTGTGATATAGTTTCCTGTACCTGTTGCAGTTACAATAAGGAACCGTCAAAGGGCATAAACAGTGTAATACAAAAATACGTAACACAATTTTGAAAGAACGTCTCTTGAGGATCCAAACAGAATTGCAAACAGAAAAGTTTCCTGAACTGTCAGCCGGAGGGGTTTGGGTACTTTTTAACCAATTCCCAGCCAAATACTAGCTTGGTCAGCTTGGAAGTTCAGGTTAAACCAGCTAAGATGAGTTCAAGTTTTTTTTTTTTTGCAGGATAGTTTCAGAAAAAATATATAGTTTAGCAATATATAAATAAAATGTAAAAAATACAATAAATAATAAATTAGACTAAAAAATACAGATTAAATTTGAACATCATATATTAACAGGAGAGTTAATAATTAATCTTGTTTATGCCAACATATTTTGCACTAGCCAATATCACAATCTCTGTAATGTTTGAATGACATGGTTTGAACTTTAGAGAGAGATTTCTCGTCAAATACATCAAAATACAAGCTTCACAGCTTTCAAACCTTCAAAGAAATATTTGTACAAAATTAGGAATTAATTTTTTTTCTGGGGTAATCAACATTATGCCACAAATGATGTCGACTGAATCTGAAACCTTTTCCAAAACCTAGTTAAGCAGCAAGACGAAGTATCCTTACAGATCTAACACAATTACAGTGACACATAACTATACGCTCCCATATGGCTGATGAGCTACACATATGAGGTTTAGTGTGACCTCAGTACGGGAGTCACTCCTTTTAGTGTATGTAATGGAGATTGTGTACACACAGGGTGGAGGGGCATCAAGCTTCAGCCGTCAGTCGTTTCAGGCCGGGTGAGGGAGGAGGGCAGTTCCCAGGCCCCCGTGTGTACGTTGGGGGGTAATAACTCACGAGCTCCCTCAAAACTTCCTCTTTCGTCCCTGGTTTTTACGACCCCTGTAGACTGGAGTACAGCTGCTCAGGCTCTGTGATGCGAATCTAGGGAGCGTGAGAGAGGAGAAACAGGAGGAGAAAGAGGACAGCAGGAGAGCTGATGGAGAAAGGTGAAATCAGAGTGTCAATTTGAACAGTGAGCAAGAGAAAAATGAAGCTTGATGTTGAGATTCATGGCGTTTTGTGATAAATATAGCAACTAGAACTACAACATGGTTACAAAACAAGCCACTGAGTGTGAGAATGGCACTGTACTGATGCTGTATGATTTATGATGGTTAAAGTGTCATTATGACAATTGAGAATGGCTTGACAAACAATTCTCATGTGAATAATGAGGTGTAATCTATCAACCTTTATAAATTCAAAAAAATAAATTGGGCCAAACAAAACTTCAAATATTATAGTTACACAATGGTAACTTAGTTTTACATGCTGCTGTCATTACCTGCAAAAATAACTCCAACAAAACAACATTTTCAGATTTTCAGAAGAAAAACATTGCCTTTTAATTGAAATGGTTTAAGTTATAATAAAAATGTATAAGATAAAAAATGTTTTGTATTTTTGATCAAAGTGGTGAGTAAAGAGACTTCTTTAAAAATGCAAAAAAAAAAAAAAAAAAAAAAAGAGTGACACTTTACAATATAGGGTCACATTTGTTAACATTATTTAATGCATTAACTAACATAAATGTACAACGAACAACATGTTTTATGGCATCAACCTTTAATGTCAATGTTAGTTGATAAATAATGCTTGTTCATTTTAGTTAACAACTTTTGATCTTAAAAATGTATTAGTAAATGCTGTGATTAACATTAGCTAAGATGAATAAATGCTAAAGAAGCATTGTTCTTAGTTATTTCATGTTAACTAATGTAGATAAACATTACCAAATGAAACCTTACGGTAAAGTGTTACCAAAAAACATTGACCCTAAACCTTTAAACGGTAGTGCATGTGTGTATAATATCCTAATGTATTAGAAATACATAATATTATTATTTTACAGTAGTAAAAATAACTAGTAGTAGCTATGGTATTTTGGCAAAAAGTGCAGTTACCATGGTACATTTTTCTAAGGGGCAGTCTATTAAATAAATTCTGTGCGCGCAATTTGACATATTCCTCATAATAACACTAAGCGGCTAAAGTAAATACAGAAACATCTATTATATTTTTCTTCTCTCAGTGTTAGGCTCCTCCTTTTTGTACTATAAAATTTTCAGTTGCCAGTTTTCTCCAAAACAATTCCAATAAGAGTCAAACATTGTTCAAACATTCTCATTAACTTTCCCTGCAATCCGTTCGGTGACAGTGTTTGTGTGTATGTGCGCATAATCAGTTTATGGTGTAGTACATGTGCAGTATCCCCGACCCCTGATCACACCAAGTATTTTAATCCAGTCTGCTGCATTTTCACATGACTGTCACGCACCCCTGCCACCATGGCAACAGAAAAGAGAGAGACTGGAAGAAGATAGAAAAGAGAGCAAGAGATAGAAGGAGTGGCAAAATGTTCCCTCGCCCTCCTCCAGCCTTATAACAATTATTAGTTCTGAATCTGCACTCGTCTGAACCCCACTTTGTAAATGAGTGCTTGGCTCTTATTCTGCCCTGTCTGTATATAACACTAGTGCAAGCAGCGCAGATGACCAACAGTATGCAAACACTTCCCCTCTCACACAGCTTCCCGCAGTGTCAGATAAGGGTCTTCTGCGAAGGTGAATGTGAGATAGAAAAACAGATACACCTTTTTCTCAGGTCACGGTTTCGTAGAGCATTTTATCTCAAAGGGCAAATGATTTAACCAGGTTTATTACTTTTTTATTCAATCAACTCTTTTTCTTGAGTATGTCTAGGTATAAATGATTTTGACTATTGAAATAAAGTGATCTTTTCTGTGAAACAAAGTGTGTGGGAGGACATAGATAACACTGATGGTGACAGCAGGGTCATGAACTACAAATAAGATCCATCATCTGATGCCTGTGATAAAAATCGAGAGTTTGCATGAAGAACACTGCTAAACATGCATATGTTCTGCGAATTCTAAGGACATCTGCTGCGAAAAATGCATACACGAATCTAATGCGCACACTTCTTATCTTTTCATTCGCTTCTTCAAAGAAAAAAAATCCAGCATAGTTTAAGGCCTGGCAGTGTTTATCAGCAGGTCAGCCTCATCAAACTCCCACTTTCCCCTCTGCAAAGAAAAAAAATGAAGGGGTGAAGAGTTGACTGACTCTGAGCATTGTGGTTGGTGATGCACGCTACCGTGGCAGCTTCTCTTTTCGGTTGTGCCCACTTCCTGCACACACGCAGCCATAACGGGGTACTAACGTCAGCGTTTCATTGTCTCTGCAAAAAATGGTTAGCAGCACCTTTTCTTGCATCTAGCTCTATTTCTCGGTTTCCATCATGCTGAACTGCAGAATAACGGAAGACAATTAGAGGCCCGGGCCGAGAACAGGGAAGATTTGGAGACGTTTTTGTATCTCAGGGTTTTTAAACTGCAGTTGGGCGCACTCTGGTGCTTGTGCATCGAAAAACAGCAGACATGGAGCACTTAAAAACTCATTCTTCATCAGAAACGTTTTGCACATAAAAAAAAGCGAATAGTATTCTTTAAAACATTTTTAAATAATGCACACTCACATGAGATCCAGTCATTCGTGTTCAGTAGCTATATTTTCTCCCACCTTACATATACCTAAACCTACCCGTCTCCACCCCCTGATCCCTAAACCCACCTATCTCCACCCCTATACCTACCATCTCCACCCCCTAGATGTGGCTCCAACCCAGCCCCTGGATCTTTGTTCTGCAGTGAGGGGCTACTGATTGACGATCAGACGTTCACACAAAACGCCTTTCTGAATAAAACGCGAAACACGGAAAATATAGCTACAGTCTCGAGAAACGTTTTTAAACATTTAACTTAAAAACACGACGAAACGCGAGACGGCTATTACACATCTAGCATATAAATAAATAAGTAAATATAATTTAAAAATCAGAGAAAAAAAAGGCTTATTTCACATGGGGCGAGTCACCCAATGGGGACCAACATGATGTGATACTATATACAATTAATAATATTACTTTAACTCCCGGAAACTTTCAGATGGAATAAATTAGCAACGCCTAACTTTTTTTTTTTTTTTTTACAACGCCAATGGTAACCAAAAACTATTTTATCTTGTAGATGATTTATGTCAGGAAAAATTCAGTCACAGTGGCAAACATGACCTAAAAATTACTGAGTGTGTGCACTGAATTTGACTGACAGTGACCTTGTAGTGAGACATCTACCAGTCCAAAGATTAAAAAAAAAACAAAACACTAATGTCAGTGTGAACTGTAAAAACAGTAACAAATAAAAACAGAGTATAAATCATTTTATTAATACTGTAGGTTTGGTGAGCTGAAGAAATGCTGTTCTGATGAGTATTTCTTCAGCTCACCTGGTTGGTTACTGTGGGTTTAGCTCTTCAATGTATGTAAAATACAGACTAACACAAGCACTGAAAGAGAAAGCTGTAGGAACCCAGGCCAGATATCACATCTGCAACCATGCAAGAGGCAGGACCACAGATACAAATATATATGTAGTTCTAGACTGGACCGGATTGCATTTGACCCAAATCTCTGCTTCTTGAAAAAAAGTGGTATGCCACCACTCTCCCCCGACACTAGTTTCAATGATCTGGTCTGGATTGAGTAACTGGACATGACCGCAAATCTCCTCGCTGCAGTGCAAGTGCTGTTTGTTTGGCAACTTTTGCACCAAGAAAATAATCGAAAGTTCCAAAATGTCTGTTAGGTCTAAATGGAACATGAATGTACATTTAAGACAAATTCAAACTAAGACTTAATAAACCACTCCATTTCATGTGGCTTTTAGAGATATGAGATGAATTCTTGAATACCTGGTTTATATATAGAAGCCTGACTGGGCGGTCAGTACAATTATTAATTTTGTGCAGATAATTGGGGGGACCAAATCTTTAATAATGCAGCTGCCTCAACAAGCTCATCTTGTTTATGGCTGGAAGGAAGCCTTATACATCAATAACATGAGGAGCATATTAGCCACAATGTGCTAAAACTACAAATTTGAATTAACATACTTCTGTTGATGAATTATTAATTCACTGGTTTGAGATGCACTGCTGCTCTATGGTATGGTGTTTTGCAGCATATAAGATTAATTTCCATGGGACGTCTGCTTTTCACCTGCAACTTTCTCAAGAGCTCCTCTTTCCTCCATACATCCCACACCTCACAGCCACCAGAAGCGTATGTACACGATCAGCATGATGAAGAAGACTCCACCCGCAGCTAGCTTAGCATATGTGGAGCGAGTGTTCAGGTACTTAGCGTCACTTCTGTATTTCTAGGACAGGCTGGACAAGTTGCTGGCTTTCGAGTCCAACACTAGGGAAAAAAAACATGGAGAAATAAAGAGAAGAAACCTCAAATATACAGTATATATACATATATATATACAAATATACATACTACATTTTGCAGGTTTAGTGGGATCTTCAATATTTTCAAGCCAAGAACCATTGCACATTGGCAAAAGCTAAGAAATGGGAGTGGATCAGCACCCCCTTTTGAGGGTTTTTGATGAGGTTAGTTTTACCAACAGGTCATCGAACTCAAAACTCATATATATTGTCATCATCAATCAGGACAACTTTCTAATTTACAGTCATTAGTTCCGACCAACAGGATCCTACAATGCAAACTGATTTTGGATATCTGAAATGGTGCTGCCATGGCAAGGGATTAAATAATGAGAAAAAAAGGGAAACAGGAAAAGTCTCATATCTTCTAAAAGCATTTACCTGATTTAGATTAAATTTAGATTGAATGTCATTGGGGCTGAGTAAATGTGAAATTGATGTAGTATACTACCAGAAAGACTCGGGAGGCAAGAGAACGTCTGAATAAGACTTACTTAAAGGGTTACTCCACCCCAAAATGAAAATTTTGTTATTAATCACTTACCCCCATGTCATTCCAAACCTGTAAAGATTTGTTCGTCTTCGGAACACAATTTAAAAAAGGAAAAGGAAAGCTTGTGAGTGACTGCCCCATTGACTGCCAAGTAAATAACACTGTCAAGGCCCAGAAAAGTATGAAAGACATCGTCAAAATAGTCCATCTGCCATCAGTGGTTCAATATGAATTTTATGAAGCAACGAGAATACTTTTTGTACGCAAAGAAAAAAATAACGCCTTTCTTCAACAATTTGTTTCCTCCGCGTCACCATAGCACCATTTTGGAGAGTATCCACTGAACGCTAACTGCCTATGCTGTTCTGTGTCAGCCCACTTATCCGTGACTCAGCCGCACCACACAGATAAGTTTTCTACGTTTATTTACGCTTTGATTGGAACGAAAACAGCGTATCCGTGTGGTGCGCCAGGGATCCTCAATGCAGTTTGCGTAGTATGAACATTTGTAGTATGAACGTGCAAGGGAGTCAAGCCCATATCCCTTACCAGTAACCATAGTGACAGTGACCAAAGTAATATCCTATATTGCGACATCCATAAAACTAAAAAGTCTTATTACGTTTTAACAGCACAGGAGTCCGAAAGCCGCGAGATATGAAGGGTGTAGATTAGAGACCTGCACTCCCGCGGGACCCGTTGCAACAGAGTGCGGCATTGGGTGAATGCGGGTGCGGACGGGTAGAGACTGTATGTATGGGATGCGGGGAAATAAAATGATTCGCAGGACTCCCGCAAAATAGAAATATCTTAACATAAAATATCTAAAAACAAATAAATTGTTATTCATCTATTGCAGAAAAGCAACAAGAACAACTAATATAAAATAAAAACGATTAACAGGCGCAAGCATAGAGTTTCCATTTGTAACACGTGTTTGCAGTGTTGAGCAATGTAGCCAATCACAAACATATCTGTTGATTTCTGGAACGCAATGACCAATCAGAGGTGTTTAAGTTAGAATCTACTCACCGCTCAAACGGCAGAGTTCCTTCTCCCCAGAGACTGCAGTGCTGTAGATGTTCTCATATGGGGTTAGAATTGTTTCTTTATTCCACATAAATAGATTATGATCCACAAATAAATGTTAAAAAATTCACAAAAATTAAACATTCACAAATTAATAGAATGAGATCCACAAATATGTTGGAGTTCCACAAAAATGAATTAAATTCACAAATATATAAAATGTTATTTGCCAATAGAAAAACATTCCCAAATTTACTTTTATGTCACAAACACAACTCTGCCTGACATTCATTTGTGTGTCACTTCCTGTACATTTGTGGATCACTTCTTGAGTATTTGTGAATGTCTTTCTGTGCATTTGTGGAGCTGCCCTCACTCCCCTCTGCAGGTCCTTCCTGGTCTCTTCTGTGCAGAAGTAGGTTAGGAGGCTCTCTATCGCTGACCAATATAAGTTGGTCACCAGGTTTCTAGGGAGAATGGCATGTTTCAACTTCCTAAGAAAGTAAAGCCTCTGTTGGTCCTTCCCCACCTGGTGGGAGATGTGGACCAGGTGAGGTCAGCCAAGATGTGCAGACCCAAGAAATTTAAAGCTCTCTAACCTCTCTACTTCCTTCTTGTGTATGCAGAGGGCTCAGTGAACTTAGATTTCCTGAAGTCCACAATCATTTCCTTGGTTTTAGTGATGTTTATGTCCAGATTATTGTGATGGCACCATTCTGTGAAATGCTCACTATTGTCTGTTATCAGTCTTATGGTGGTATCATCAGCAAACTCGACGATGGTATTCACGATGGACTGAGAACACATCCCTGTGGCGTGCCAGTGTTCAGTCAATAAATAAAATGTATTTACTATTGTTTAGATTGATGTAAGGAGGCTATTTCAAAAATAGGCTTTTGAATGGGCTTCATTTGAATTCACCTGCTTAAATGGAACAAATGTAATGCTTTTCACAACAAGCCAGTCTGCCAGGAAATGTCCCCCAGACTTTATGACATTTAAAGGTGACATATCATGAAAATCTGACTTTTCCAGGTTTTAAGTGCTATAATCAGGTCCCCGGGGCATCTACCAACCAAGGAAACGTGAAAAAGATTAACCCAGTAACTTTGTTTTGGTAAGCTTTTTTCTGCAAGCGTCTGAAAAAACGAGCGTGTCTGATTTCGCACCCCTAGTGACGTTGCAAAGGGATCTCATTATAATATTACCACCCCTTAATCTGTAAGCTTCCACTCACTGCGCCATCATTTTGATTTCACAAGCAATAATGGTGTACCAGTTCCAACGCCATGGCAAAAGTCTGAGCAAATCATGCTAACTGTTCTGTCTTGGGCTGCACAGAGGAGCACAGAACACTATTTAGAGTCCCAGCCTCAGAGGAGACAAGAGCAGTGGATTTATTGATTTATTTACTGTATATTGCTGCTGCCACACAGATCTAAAATAAACATGCGATTTATTTCCCAGCTGTTTACCTTCACAGACATAACCGACTGTTTTTGTAACTTGTGTGTTTTTAATGTAAACTTGTGTGTGAATGAGAACTTAGTTTAGTACTCGCATGCTGTGACAGCCGCTTTCTGTACGTGTGCACTCAGAAAACCGTATATCAGAAGTTTAAACTAATATGGTTTAAAAAGCATGATTTCAGCACGATAAACATGATAATCAGAACCAAAACAGATGTTTTTAGCAGGTACAAGCTAGAGGTCTGCGCGGGACTGTTTTTTTAGTCCTGCTCCTGCAAGGTTCTATTCCGCACCACCCGCTCCCGCTATATATTCACTCTTTGTTCACCTACTGTCCGCTTAGAATAATTATCTTCCCGACCCAACCGTTCCCGCTAAATGTAGATCTCATTTCCAGAATCTCACATTTAAATTTCCGCTACTGAAAGAAAGAGAGATAGGCTGATAAATAAAAGTGTAGTCTGCACAAAATTGTATGTTATTTTATTCATCTTGTCAAGAGTCTTGAATTTATTAACTTTGACTTGAATCTATAGGAATTATCTTAAGACACAAAATTCATTTAATATTTTATGCAACAGTAGAATTTTTTTTTATTTCTTATTTTTATTCGTCGTCAGGATACAATTCGTTTAAAATTGACAACACAATAGGGAAAAAGTGTCTCAGAGAGAAAAAAGAAAACAAATGTAGGTTGTACAAAAATAGCCTATTTTTATTCGTCTTGTCAAAATACTAAATTCGTTTGACATTTTTCTGTTAACAGTAGGAAAAGTGTCGCAGAGAAAAATAAATAAACATCTTTTATTTAAAATAATTGCACTAAACTTTTAAATTATGAAATTTATTAAATTACTAAGAGTAAAATGGGTAATGAAAACCACTTAACTTTGTTTAATTTTTCCCAGACATGAAAATATCCAAATGATGTCATTAGTACCCCTTTGAAATAATCAATAATGTTTTTTGTTTTTTTTGGAAAAGTGTGTGAAAATTTGTATTTTATGGTCAGTCACAATTGTAACCGGTGGGATAATGTGTATACTGAATTAACATATTTCTGCAGTCTTAAAAATTGTTATATATCTTAGCCCAGCTATTTTAAACTGTTTGATCACATTCTAGGGTTACTATTATGCATAAAAAACCTTATACAACATTGATAGGAATACTGAGATCAAATACAAAACAATACAACCATCAACGTATTTCAAAATTTTTACTTTTTTGTAACATATATCATCACATTTTTATGTTAGTGCTACCAGTATTACAACATTAATATTCTAACGTATTTGTAACATTTTTACTTTTGATTTAGTGCAATATTTTGTACTACCATTAGGGACTGCCAGTGAATGGCTGTTGCATGCATAAAATGCAACCTTTACATGATCAATATTATCTTTCAATGTTCAATTTAAATAATTGTAATTGCACAAACTATGTAGGCAACAATTTCAATTTGTTTATTGTGAAATAACTCGAGTAAGCGAGTAATTGTGTAGGATAGAACTATTTTCCTGCTTATCTGAACACACGCAAATGTTGCAAGACAGAACCAATCCATCACAGAGAGCGTTCACTCACTTCTGACAGTGCATTCAAACAGGGCTGCCATTCCCAAAAAAATTAATGCTTTCTTATGATACTTTTGGGAAACGCAGCCCTGTTTGAATGCACTGTCAGAAGTGAGTGAGTCTTGCAACATTTGAGTGTTCAGATAAGCAGGAAAATAGTTCTATCCTACACAATTACTCGCTAACAAAGGTTATTTGTCCAATTCAATGCATATTGTACGCATTATTATTATTATTATTTTTGTTAAATAAACAAAACCACTGGTAAATAAAATGCACCTTAGCATCGATATTTTTTGTTTGAGTATCGATACTTTCGATACTCGCGTCAGTATCGATATATCAATACTTCGGATCGATACGCCCATCCCTACGTCAAAGACAGCACATCCACACTTTGCTCCATCCTTGTTCTGCTCTGTCACTCATCGACAACCTGCCTGTTCTGTCTGAGGGCCGTATTTTTACCACAGGTACAGCCTGCTCTGAGCATCGTTATGCACATTCTGCTCACAGACCACGCAAATAAAACACGTGACGTTTAAAGCATGTTTGCAGGGTGTGCATAACAGTCCTGAGCACAAGCTGTACCGGTGGTCAATAAGAATAAAGCGCAGATATGATGTTCTAAATGGACGTCGGGAAAGGGATATTGTTAGACCGCCCGCTCCCGTTCAAATTAC